TCTGTCGCCCTAGATGGGAAGGAGGCAAGTCAGACTCTTACTGACTAAAAACCTCGCAACCCTAGACGCTTCTCATGCATGATGGTTCGAGTTCTAAACATAGCAAGAAGATATCAGTAGTAAGTAGACTTCACTAACGTGTTTTAAGTGTAGGAGAGCCATGCTCCGGCACGAATGGGTCGGCTCGACCGGAGTGATACCACGGCCTTACAGAAAACCGGCGATAAACAACCACAGCGTCGTTGTGTTTCGTCGTGTGAGTAAGGTTACCAGAGACACTTGAACTGCTGGACCAAATCGGATAATTATTTTTGTCGTGTTTATTGGCAGTCCTTTAGTAATTTTGTATGCATACAGTGAAGATTGCATTCTAGCGAACAAAATACCTATGTGATAAATCACATTTCCCTTCATATCAATACTAGCATAGATGGCGCTGCTGTAGTTTTAAATCCTTCATCCTTGTATATGTCGCTCATAATTTAGTTAAACGTAATTGCAGATCAGACATTGGTAATAATGATTGACTTATAACAACCCTGTTAGTATTCATTACACATTCAAGAGATCTGAATCTTACAATACATGACTTGTCGTTTACTGAATGAGCGCCTTATTACCTAATAACCTCAAATGGTTTACAGTGTCTCTACATGATGTCTTTTCTCAGTCAGATTTCCATCGCGAATATTTAATTAGGTTGTTTTGTCCTTAATTACTCCAGATAATATGTAGATTGGTTGTGATAAAACTCTTCACTACATAAAACAAAACAAAGTCGCTTTCTCTGTCCCTATATCCCTATGTATGCTTAAATCCTTAAAAATATGCAACGGATTTCGATGCAGTTTTTTTTTTAATAGAGTGATTGAAGAGTAACGGTTATAGGTATAATTAAATTTATTAAATAGTGGATAAATTTATTTAGTGTCAGCGTAGCACCAGTGCTACCCAGGGGTGGGTCGCTAGTCTTAGATAAAACTCAAAGAAATAATATTTTAATTCATAACATTTGAATTTTGCTAAATTTTTTCGAAGGTATAGATATTTTTTTTTGTTTTCGTTTACGTTTGTTAAGTATTAAATAAAAAGAATTGTATCCGGTTATTCAGTGATTTCATTGAAAATTTTGCAACCAATGACGTCAGAACCAAATTGTTTACCATAGTCGGCGTTTGTGTTAATCATCTATACTACACTTTACTAACGTCATAAAACAATGACGTCATTCTGTTTAATTCTACACACTACACTGTAACACCTACAATTCTATTACATTCAGCCCGGCTTAGCGCTTTGATAAAAAATTTGATAAAATGCAGCCTGTATGTAGTCCAAGGTATTATCTACATACGGTACCAAAAATCAACAAAATCAGTCCCGCCGTTTTTGCGTGACAGAATAACAAACATACATCCAATCATACTCTCTCAAAGGCCTCTTCTCTCACGGAGTAGGTTTGAGCATTAATCACCACGCTTGCTCAAGAGAATTGGTGATTTCAAACTTATAATTAGAAATTATGAGTCCAGGTTCTCTTCACGATCAGCCGGGATTGCGGGGTAGGCGCAATGAGGCACCGCGACCTCGGCCCAGAGCAGGGGATGGAACGGGGGGTTTTTAGTCAGTACGAGTCTAACACTCTCCCTCGCCTTACCCTGGGCGGGAGAAGTCATTGGACGATTTTCCCCTGACAAAAAAAAAGATTTCCTCAGGATGTTTACCTTCGCCGTATGTCAGTGGTGTCTAAGTAATCATAGAAAGTACATATAACTCGGAAAAGTCACATTGGTACTTGCCAGGTTTCGAACCCATGTTATGAGAAGCGAGCGCCCTAACCTTCGGGTCACCACGACCTCCTCCAGGCCACCACGACCTAATCATATTCATAAACTTTCACATCTGTAAAATACATAGACTGTGGGTATTTTCAATACACTGCACACATTCAACACTCAGCTCCGTAACACACACAATTTCACATCACAGTATTTGCATGACCCTCTAATCGATTACCAAAGTAACAATCGTTTACTCCTTATCATATTATATTTTACAACCAAACAGAATATAATGATGTCTTCATATAAAAAGACTCTTTGTCTCATAAATACAAAGATTTTCCTAAGCTTCAAAGCTGTATATGCGCTAAAATAACTTACAAATGCCGGAACAGCCGTAATAGGGATCCTAACGAGACGATATGATATAAAAAGGGATGGGAGTATGAAGGCATCCGTCAGAGACATACATGAATACCCCTATAGAAAAATGTGGAGGGAATTTGGATAAAGAGGAATCAAAGTTATGAAATCGACTATTCACTATAACAGTGATCTTTAGTGGATTGTGTGCATTTAATAATTGCTAACAGGCTATTTCATACTTCAAAGTTTTCTCCTAAAACTAGTAACATTTTTTTTTTGTCATAGTACGTCAAACCCTTAACCCAAAAAGGCCGGCAACGCGCTCGTAACTCCTTTGGTGTTGCCGGACTTCATGAGCGGCGTTGATTGCTTACCGTCAGGTATTCCATCTGCTCATTTGCCGACCTATAAAAAAAAACCCGACTACGTAACACATAGACTACTGGTACTGCGGGTGAAGCCGCTAAGAGACAGTATGACGTTGTATAGTTAATAAACTAATAGCACTTGATCGATTTCATTGAATTATAAAAGAGGTTGCGATGAAGTCAGTTGGGCCACGTTGTCGATGTCATGATGTCTGTGATCGCTGCCGAGTCCGCACGCGATTGGCGGAAAATAACTGCTTCTGATACTGCATAAATAAACATCTATCTTTCATATTTTCTTTTATTAGTTTATCTTTTATTGTGTTTTATGACAAGTTTTATTAATTAACAGTAACTACTGGCGAGTTCTTACTATAGGCGAGTTTCCAACTACATATTCGAATTCAAAACTTTTTCGATTTAATTTTTTTTTTTTTTTTTTTTTTTTTTTTTTATAATTATATTTACAATCAGTCCCAAGACTATAAGTAAATTGGTTGTGCGGCGTTTATCTATGCAAGAGGTCTCCCCATCGGGAGACACTCCTTTCCTTTCACCATCGTACATCCAGTCTCTGGATGTCGTAACGTTTGAGGCGTCTATTATATTTTATATTTTTCAGATCGGCAGCTAGTTCGTTCGGGTGATTGTCGAGCCGGTTTCTGTAGTTGGCGTATGACTGCTGTATCTCTTCCTTCACTGTTTCAATTTCCAATACTTCATGGATTTCCGAGTTAGTCAGGAACCATGGAGCGTTTGACAGTGTACGCAATATGCCATTTTGTAGCCTTTGTATGATGGTTATATTGGAGTTACAAGCACTACCCCAGAGTTGAATTCCATACCGCCATACAGGTTTCAGGACCATTTTGTATATAAGTAGCTTGTTGTCCACAGAGAGTTTTGAGTTACGTGCCATCAGCCAGTACATGTTCCGGAACCGGATGCTTATTTCATCACGCTTGGTTTTTATGTGCTTTTTCCATGTCAGTCTCCTATCCAGATGTATACCGAGGTATTTGACTGATTCGCTCTGGGGAAGGATATTAGTTCCCAGTCGCACGGGTGGACAGTTTCTCTTTCTAAGCGTGAATGTGATGTGGGAGGATTTCGATGCACTGGCCTTGATGCGCCATTTCTTTAGCCAGTCATCTACTTTATTAAGACTCTCTTGCAGAATGTTTGAGGCAATTTGTGGATCGGTGCTACTTGTCAACAGTGCCGTGTCGTCGGCAAATGTGGCATTCATTACTTGAGATGATAGGGGGAGATCTGCAGTATAGAGGTTGTACAGGGTTGGTGCGAGTACTGAGCCCTGGGGCACTCCAGCCCGAATATCATAGAACCCTGACGTGTCTCCACTTTCTCGTACCTGAAACATGCGGTCTGACAAGTAGGAAGTCATTAGGTTATAGTAAGAGTGCGGTAACAGCGTCTTTATTTTTGAGAGTAAGCCCTTATGCCACACCTTGTCAAACGCCTGCTGGATGTCGAGAAAGACAGCAGAGCAGTATTCTTTGGTTTCAAGCGAATGTCGTATTTTATCGCAAACACGATGAACCTGTTCGATGGTAGAGTGGTATTTCCTAAAACCAAACTGGTGTCTGGGGATTGCTTCATTTTCCTCCAGCAGCGGAAGCATCCTGTTCAATAGAATTCTTTCGAAAACTTTGGACAGGACAGGGAGAAGACTTATTGGCCTGTATGAAGTGACATGATCCGGGGGTTTTCCTGGCTTGTGGATCATGGAGATAATAGATACTTTCCATATACTTGGGAAATGTTGCACCCTGAAGATTGAGTTGAAAAGCGTAGTAATGAATACTAAAGCTTTTCTAGGAAGTTGTACAAGAACTTCTTTAGTAATTAAGTCAAACCCAGGCGCTTTGTTGTTTTTCATATTCTTAATAGCCCATACAAGCTCACGCACTGTTACTGGTCTAGGTGGAAGTGACAATTGTAGGTCTTGCTGTAGATGGTCGTCTATTCTCGTTTCAAATTCTTGGCATTCACTGTCATTAGGCTTAAACACGTTAGCCAGGTGTTTGGCGAATGTTTCTGCCTTTTCTCTACCTGTTCTAGCCCAGCCTCCGCCATCTTTTCTTATCGCAGACTTAAACTGTTGAGGTCTATTGAATTGTTTCGTGAATTTCCAGAGTGCATATTCAGAAGCGGCCGTAGCGGTTAGATTTTGTAATTTATTTTGTAGTGTTATATTATTTATATCATCCAGCATTTCTTTCAATTCCTTGATAGCTTTATTAAGGGCTTTCTTATCAGTTTTGTGCCTGGTTTGGTGCCAGACCCTTCTTAGTCTCCTCTTTTCTAGCACTTTTTCTTTGATTTCGAGAGGTATGTTTCCAGTGGAGACCCTTTTCTTTTTGGTTGGGGTGCATATCCAGCATGTAGTCTGTATTAAGGCAGTTATGTAATTAGCAGCATCCTCCACTTCTTCTGATGTTTTTAAAGATACTTCCAGACGTACAATTTCCTCCAAACGATCTCTGAATTCCTCCCAGTCAGTTAATTTGTTATATAGGGATTCAGGTTCTTCATAGCTTATCAAAGTCGTGCTTATGGTCAGAATTACAGGGGTGTGATCGGAGCTACTGTCGTGACAAGATTCGGCTTTCAAATAGTGTTTCGAGAGTCCTCCGAAGATGAAAAAGTCCAGCAGGTCAGGCTTTTTGTTTGGATCCGTGGGCCAGTATGTCGGTTCACAGGATGAGATCGAGTGCATACCGTTGGCGTCGATGCTCGCCTTAAGCTGTCTACCTCTTGTTGTTATTAACCTGGAGCCCCAGTGAGTGTGTTTGGCATTCCAGTCACCACCAGCAATGAATTTGTTACCCAAAGTAAGAAGGAATTCCGAGAATTTCGAGCTGTCTATGGTATATCTTGGTGGACAATATACCGCGGATATATTTAGAGGCCCATCTTTACTTTCAACTACGATAGATGTTGCCTGGATATGGTTTGTTTTGTACTCGTTTCGATTTAATAAAAACCATAATTTGATTCTACGAATTTCGTATTTAAAAAAGTAATTAGGTACTATAAAATGCTAGAAAAAATTAAAATTAAACAAATCGATGAAGAAAAATGTGATTCGAAATGTCGACGTAATTAGTTTATGGCTAAGTAATAATTTTTAATTTTAAACATTACTTTCTATATTATAGTTTTGACGTATTTTATTTTATATCTTCGGTCAGATTTAAAGGTTAGCTTCCTAGCCACAAGAAGGTACAATTGTTGTGTACAAAATTAAATCTTTCAAATTGAAAGTTAAAGAATTGTGTGACTATTTTGGAAAAAGGCAAAAAGGAAAAAAATATGAAATTAAACGTCGATCAAAAACCTTACATAGGTATACATATCACGACCTGCATAGTTTAGTCTTTGCGCATCAAACCTTAAAAGCAATCTCTTCCCCACATCATAAATATTTGTCTTCACACTAACTTCATTATAAATGTAATTACAAATTTTACAAGAGAGCATTCAAGGCCCATTCGTCCAAAATTGTATTCAGCGTCATTGACCGTAAAATGCTGTTATAAATCAGTTTGATAGAGTTTCCTTTCATTATGTTTTCATATCAAAACTTGTATTCCCTACGTGACAGGCAAGGCATTTTAGTATATTGACTTGCGCGAGTGCAGGTGGTGGTTCCCTGGAGAAAATGCAGGATGGTCTGCGCCTCGGCTAGACACGTATAAATAAAATAGTGTTAACAACGCGACTAGTTTAAGCGAAGCTATCACACTCTTATGCTGCCTTGGTACTTTATTTTGGTTCAACGCAAGTTAACCTTAAAATAACCTTAAATTACCTTTGACATTATTTAAGAAAATGCTTTTTAAACTTTTACTATAAAAGAAATGAAGTGTAACACCTTCTATACCAATGTATAGTGTATTTTAGCAAATAAACATTTTTGATTGGATTTTGAAAGTCGTGTCAAGTTTTTTGCTCATTCATTTTTATTTTATGTGATGGTAAGACGGCAAACGAACAGACGTATTACCTGATGATGGGCAATCAGCGCCGCCCATGGACATGCAACAATGAAGGATTTTGTGGATTTGGGAGAAGAAGGATTAGACCTCCAGTACCTATGCTCACTCACACGGCGAAATACAATGCTGTTGTTGTTTCACGCCGGTTTTTCGTGGGGCCGTGGTATCACCCGAGTCGAGCCGACCCATTCGTGCCGAACCATGGCTGTCTTACACGCATATTGTTTAATAAACCACCTTTTTACTTCAGTAACCCAATATAGATATAGAATTAAGGAAAAACTTTAGCAAGATCTTAAACCTATTTACATTCTGTACCTTAAAACATTTCTACAATCAGTAATGTACCCTATATAGCTATACCCAACTTCGTTTCTAGGTCAATTAAAACAAGAAACTGCCAAGACGCAATAAAATTTACAAGCGTCGTCGTAAGTCACCTCGCGGAACTTACCGCGTTCAACCACTGCATACTTTATGTGCACCTGGTATGTCCCACAAAAACCTATGAATACCCCATTATAATAGGGAATGAAAAGGGGTTGATGTATTCATGGAAAGTTTAACTTAAAAGACTCCTCAGGCCCTGGAGTTGCCAAAAAATACCAAGTAACATGTACTAGCTACCTTTCAATGGAATATTTTAAATATTTAGATAGGTAACGTTGGGTAGGACCTATCAACGTTTTCAAAATACACGTGGTCCTTAACTATTAAAAGTACTGTTTTCCCCTTGTGGTACGCAGAAGTAGTCCATCGTATAAACTACCTCTTGTATCATATGATTAAACTTCGGTATTCTTTGTTTGATCGAAGCTGGGACTACTACAAGAAGCCCAGACAATCCTTCTATAAGTATAATTAAAATACCAACACGAGAGACTCAGCCTACACATACACATACAAACTAACGAAAATAACAGTTCACAAACAAACTTAATAATGTCCATTCTGTATATAATTTCGTACAGATTATTTCCCTATTACAGGAAATTGAATTAAGTACTACAGACGTGGAGCAGGCAGCGCAAAATAATCTTTATGCCCATTTCGTTGTAGGGTTCAAATTCCGTTGCATAATGGTACTTGTAAGTTAGCGAGGCGGACGCTCGGGCAAGGGTCAGTGAATTCGGATATCAAATATGCAACTCTCCCCAAACCACTTACAGCAATTGCAAATGTTCCCGAAAGTTGTAATAGTTGGGCCAAAAATGTTCTGGACGCTTCCAAATGTAACATGATATTATTTTCAAGACAGTGAATTGTAATGACGGTATTTTGTCATAACGGTGTTTCAGAGCTATGGATATACGTCACAATATAGATGAACATTAAATAGGTAGGTGGTCTATAGTCATCTATGTAGTAGTATGTATCCCTACTGATCTGGAAGTCTTTGGACGAGGCACATTAAAATAATAATATTGTGACGGAAAAGTGGTTCAAACTCTTTGACATCATGACGTCAATGGATGGTTGTCAAACGTTGCCTAGAGATTGTAAATTTCGTCGTGAATTGTCAACACGAGTTGGTGTAATCGGTAAGGCGTGTGGATTACACCAGAGAGACCCCGAGTTCGAGTCCCGCCGTAAGCATGAAGTTTTTTAGTTGATGGAAGTTTTTGTGGAACTTTCTGGAAGCTTTTGGTGTGAAAGTAATGAAAAATCAAAGAGCGAGAAGGAGAATAAATAAAAATGAATAACGAAATTATTGGAAGGTTCTGGAGGCATGACGATCAAAAAGAATAACGAAATTGAATGTTCCAGAACCTGAACCGGGGGTATATAAGCGGAACTGCGGCTCACCGCTGGCAGTTGAGTTCTAAGTCTAAAGCGATTCGGAAGAAAAGGAAGAAGTGAAAAAGAAGAAAAGTGAGTGAAATAGTGAAGTGCAGTGAAATAGTGAAGTGCAGTCAGTTAAGTGAGTTAAGCCAGCGTGAACGGCAAAGTTGTGTCAGTCGGCCGGGCTCTGCTGGAGAGGAACGCCGATAACTTAACTCCGTGGACGCTGTAACTTAAGTGCAATAGAAAGTCTGAAAACCGGTATTAGTGTTTCATTTCATCCAATCCCGTTACCCAAGCCCGCATAGTCAGGAACGTGACGTCAGGCACGTAACATTTGGTGTCAGAAGTGGGATTGGAGAAAAATGCCGCTAGTACCGCAGGACGTAAGAGGAGTGAGTACCCGTGCTATGTCAGAAGCGCAGCGTGTGAGGGAAGAGGGTGCTGCAGCTCAAACCAGCGATGCAGAAGCCAAGCCTGTGCAGGTGGATCTTCTGCTACAGCTGCAGCAAATGATGGCAGAGCAAGCGCGCCGCCAAGAAGAGCAAGCGCGCTGTCAGGCAGAACAGCTGCGGGAGCTGAGAGAAGAGCAAGCGCGCCGCCAAGAAGAGCAAGCGCGCCGCCAAGAAGAGCAAGCGCGCCGCCAAGTAGAGCAAGCACGCTGTCAGGCAGAACAGCTTCGGGAGCTGAAAGAAGATCAAGCTCGTCGCCAAGAGGATCAAGCTCGCCGCCAAGAGGAGCAAGCGCGTCGCTTGGAAGAGATGCACAGGGATTTCACGAAGGGACTGCAAAAGGCTGTCGAACGGGTACAAGAAGTGGAGGAAGGGTTAGGCAAGTTGGAACATCGCGTCATGGCGATAGAGGAGAGAGTGGAAGAAGAGATCTCCAAAATCAAACAGGAAGTGGCAAGCCCAAGCCCTTTGAAGAGCCGAAGCCGTCTTGCAGCCGTTTTTGACACCCCAAATGTGGCCTCAAGCACAACGAAAGGGCTCAAGATTCCCCATTACGACGGAACAACATCTTGGACCGCGTTCAAGCTACAGTTTGAGACACTTATGGAGGCTTATGGTTGGACTCAGAAGGAAGCACAGTCAGCCCTCACCCTGGCCCTCCGTGATCAAGCGCTCTCAGTGCTGGAAGCTATCGGCGCAAGTGGGGATCTCAGCTTTAGTGCCCTCCTCGACGCACTTGAGGCACGTTTTGGAGACAGCCACCTCGAGCACGTGTACAGAGCGCAATTAAAAGAGCGTACTCAGCGTGCTAATGAGAGTCTACAACAATGGTCCGTGGAAATCGAAAAACTTGTGCGTCGAGCTTTCCGGTCGACTCCGTCAATGATTGAAGGCACGCTTCTCCAAGCATTCATTGACGGTGTTCGGGACCCCGAAGTACGAGCTGCTGTTCATCTGGGCCATCACAAGAACATGAAAGAAGCTCTGGCCCATGCATTGGAAGTGGAAGCTGTGCGTGGTAACTCCCGTATCTTATGTCTGCGGGAAATGACGACTACGGAGCAGGTACCTCCACGCCGTCGGAACTTCATGTGCTATGGATGCGGAGAGCGTGGGCACATGCGGAGCAACTGCCCGAAGAAGGTGAACCGCCAGGACGCGGCGGTCTCAACTTCTGACCAGCAGGGAAACTAATTCCAGCCAGGGCTGCGGGGTGGGCGCTGGCCGGTAGTGGAATAACCCCAACAATCTACATCAAGCAAACTAATGATGGAAATACTCTGGTGATAGACGGGCAAGTAAATGGGAAAAACAGTCAGCTAACATTAGATACTGGAGCTTCAAGGACGGTGATAAATGTTCGGCTGCTCGGGCAAAACATCAGGAAACACGTTAAACCATTGTTGGCCTACGAATGAAATCAGCTACCGGCCAGTGGATACCGATAAGTGGAAAACTGCACGTAACAATCAAAATTGGGGAACGTGTTTATCGACATGAGGTTATTGTGGCCAAAATTCTGGATGACTGCATCCTGGGACTTGACTTCCTGCAAGGGCACCAGTGTAACATCGACTTAAAATCTGGAGTATTACTATGTGGAACTGAGGAAATTCCGATGAAGGGTGGAACCCTGGGAAAAGTTTGCTGTTTAAGAAGAACTGTTCTTGAACCAAAATCACAGACTCTCGTACCAATCGCATTACCTAGGAGGAGTGAAGGAAGTTTACCTCGAAGGTGCGCTGTGATTGATAAATCGGAACACGTAAACTCATGGCTACCGGCAAGGACTGTCGTGGGGTCATCTGATGTCAACCGCATTCCGGTATTCAACTTCAGTGATTCAAAAATTACGATTGAAGAAGGAGAGCCTGTGGGCGTTTTGGAAGAAGTGGCCTGGATAAGAAAATGCTCGGAGAATCTTGTGAAGAAGGACAGTACGGGAATAGACTTTGTAACGAAAATCTTAGACGAAAACAAAAGTCTGACAAAAGTGGAGACTATGAAAGCTAGAAATTTACTCCTTCGATTCTCTGATGTGTTTTCAAGAAGCGATGGTGATATTGGCCGAACTGGTTTGGTGAAGCATAAAATAAATACAGGTGATACAATGCCAATTCGTCAAAGGCCCAGACGTATACCATTCGCTCGTGAGAAAGAGGTTGAACAAATGATTGACGATATGAGGAAAAATGACGTGATAGAGCCCTCTTCTAGCCCTTGGTGTTCACCTGTCGTGCTTGTCAAGAAGAAAGATCCTTCAACGAGGTTTTGCGTAGACTATCGACGATTGAATGATGTAACCAAGAAGGATAGCTACCCGTTACCAAGAATCGATGACACACTTGACACACTGAGTGGCATGAAATGGTTTTCAACGCTCGATCTGAAAAGCGGCTATTGGCAGGTGGATTTGGATCCCAAGGACAAGGAAAAGACCGCATTCTCAACTGGGAAGGGACTCTGGCAATTTAAGGTGATGCCATTTGGATTATGCAATGCACCGGCAACCTTTGAGCGTTTGATGGAACAGGTGCTGGCGGGACTACTGGGCGAAACCTGCCTAGTTTACCTCGATGACATCATCATTGTTGGACGGGATTTTGATGATCATCTCAGGAAATTGGAAAGGGTACTCGAAAAGCTGCGTGGAGCAAATTTAAAGTTGAGTCCAAAGAAATGCTCTTTCTTTAAGCGCGAAGTGAATTATCTAGGACATGTTATTTCTGAGAGAGGAATTGATACTGATCCAGCCAAGACTGCCGCTGTTAAGGAATGGCCAACACCTAAAGACAAAACGCAAGTTCGGGCATTTCTTGGATTATGCTCGTATTATCGGCGGTTTGTGAAAGGATTCTCAGACATTGCCAAGCCATTGCATCGATTGACAGAGGAGAAACGTGCCTTTATATGGGACGAGGATTGTGACCAAGCCTTTCGAGAACTAAAAGAACG